AGTGCGAAAAGCCCCGAGCAAGCTCTAACTGGTAATTGCGAGGAGAAAAATCTACTTCCTCAGCCGAAAAAAGGAACCAGACCAGGAAGCGTTCTCCAGATATGGCAACTGAAAAAATCACATCGTCTCATATTGACCGGTGCACTAAATTCACCTACAGCACTGAGATAAGCATCCCCCATTTGGTAACCGTAGCCAAGTATCGTATAAGGCAAGGAAATACAATTTAAATTTGCTAACATTACATATACGTCTGTATATATGAAAACATCTCCATTTAAGATGTACTAAATAGAAATTTTTAGCCACTTGTCAATTCTTTTCATGATAAAAAGTAAAATAAACCTCGTTAAACATTTTTGCCCGATGAACGTCTTCCCTCAACCTTGCACTTGTTACACTGCTTATTTTCGTCCCCAGTTCAGATTACATAATTTTACATTTTGAGCCGCAGAAAAAATCAACCATACTGTCTCGCTGGTTTAGTGTAAAAATTCCCTTTTTCCGTACAAGAGCGACGCGAGAACCTTAAAGTAGAAAGGCGATAACACTTATCTACTCACGATGTCTCCTGGAGGTCCCTGAAAAACAATTACACAGAAAGAAATTCAGAAAGTTGTCAATTATTCGGCACAAGTTAACAAATAGACACTTCATCACTGGGTAAGCTGAAGAAAACATTGGGCGTTTACTTCAAGGCCAGTCCTTGGTATTGCAATGCGCATCGTTTAATACTAGCGTGCACATCCTCATTTAATAGATGGTGGGGCGATTTTCTTCAAGGCAAACGCTTTCATTAAAGCAGCAGCGAGAAAACATCGCCTGTTAATTACAAATGTTTGTACAACACATATTTCAATTCTTACCGGTGGGCCTGGAGCTCCCTAAAGAAAGATAAATGGAAAACCAAATTATGAGAAAAGGGAATCGAAAAGAGAAAAGAAGAAGAAGAGGAGGAAGACCAGGGAAATAATGGGAAAAGGAGAAACGTTAATGATTTGGAGTGCGACTACCTAAAGCAGAGCAATCTCTCTGGTGACGTTGCATTAACAGACATGGAGCGCATTTTGATCGAGTATAGTGAAACAGAAGTAAATTAATGACACCGCCCAGTCTGAACGAAGGAAGATGTCGCAAGGAGGCAATGAAAACTTAAAGAAAAAACAAGCGAACTGTTTCAAGCGCGGAAAAATGCGACTGAAAGGGTCGCGATAGGTTTGATGCGTTTTAGTTTTGCGTTTAGTTGGTT